ATCATCTCAAAGGAAAAAAAAAAGAAAGAAAAAAACATTGTCTCCTGAGTCTAATTAAGGATAGTAGGAGAGAAAAAAGGTCTGCTTTCTAGAAAAACATATAGCTTCACTTAAATAACTTACTGAAGATGTCTAATTACGATACGGCTAACATAATACACTGGGACTGTGCGATAGAATGAAATAGACAAATTCATTAACAGAGTTAGCTTTCCTTCTTTGTGGAAAAAAGCAACACATGTTTATTGCTCCTAAGCTGCCAGCTTTTTATTTTGAGACAGAGTCTCACTTGTCACCCAGGCTGGAGTGCATGGTGCAACCTGCCGCCCTCCTGGGTTCAAGCGATTCTCTGCCTCAGCCTCCCGAGTAGCTGAGACTACAGGCACCGCCACACGCCCAGCTAATTTTGTGTAATTTTAGTAGAGATGGGATTTCACCATACTGGCCAGGCTGGTCTCGACACTCCTGACCTCAGGTCATCCGCCCACCTCAGGCCTTCCCTAAGTGCTGGAATTACAAGCATAATCAAGCTTTCATTATGACCACTTCCACCCAAATACACCAAATTCCCACCCGAGTACAAGGAATAACACAGTGCTTCCTATGTAACTCATCAGTATAGCTTAATTCTAAATACAAACATTAAACAGAAATCCAGTGTTATTATTTTGATGTCTTCCTTTCCTGCCTAACAAAAAAAGTTTCAAAACTAAAGTAGATATAGTTTTCCAAGTAGAGTTGGAAAAGTAGAGTTGTTGACAGATGCCCAGTCTTTTCAATTATCCGAGTGGCCCTGCTTGGGGTGGAACACGTTCAGTCACATTTAGTTATAGATCTCTGACACCGATTTGAAAGGGAAAATGCAAGCCAAACCCTGTCAGTTCTACTCTGGAAAAATCAGTCCGTGGTAGTACTGAGAGTAGAACGTATCACTCCGAATCTCTCTCGTGTCCAATCAAGAACGATGAGAATTTAAAGCTATAAAGCAGGAAAATATTTCAGACATCCTCTCCAAAAGGAAGACAGATTGACAAGTTGATGCTTTCAGTACCTCATCAGGTCTGCTACAAGTCAAAGGTAAAAGAGAAGGGTTGACAGCGAACGATTCGGTTTCTCGTGAATGGACTGCCCCACGACAGGTATGCCAGCTTGTGGGCATAGTGGCAAGGCGCTGGAAACTCGAATGGTGCCCTTTAGTAGAAAAAAAGAAAAACACAACTAAATATTTTTCACTTTACTCTTTCCCCTAAATTTAAGTTCATAGAAGCAATGCAGAGGTTCCAACGTTGTTTAATCTTGAATATTACATTTAAAATATCTAAAGAGAAAAAAAGTACTTACTGGCAAATTATAATACGTGTGGCACAGACAGTAAGTAAACGCTGCACTGTATCTGTGCTCAAGCCAATCGTGTCATAGATGACGTTATAATGAGTGGGGGTAACAGTCCCTTCTTTCACATGCTGACTCACGACAAAAAGTCATACCTGGAATTAGTAGGACATGTGGGTATCAGCTCATTTGAAAAAGAAGGTATAAGTAAAGCTGATGTCTGAAATGAAAACATCTAGTATAACAGCTTACAAAGATCTCTTCTGTAGACTTAAGTTTCCTTTACATTCAGAAACCTGTCTAACTGATAAACGATGTGAGAAAGCAAATCTGTAGAATGCAATTAAATAACTGACACAGATAGTAACTCTCCTAGGATTTTGACTTCAAATATATGCACTGAAACCTGGAGGACGAAACAAGACTGGCACATTTGATCTGATACGGGTGTAGATAATTATGTTCAGAGACCCTGGGATGAAGACCTGCTGCCTCACTGAGAATCACTGGACTATAAACTTCTTAGACGGGCCGGGCGCGGTGGCTCACGCCTGTAATCCCAGCATTTTGGGAGGCCGAGGTGGGTGGATCATGAGGTCAAGAGATCGAGACCATCCTGGTCAACATGGTGAAACCCCATCTCTACTAAAAATACAAAAAATTAGCTGGGCATGTGGCGCGATGCCTGTAATCCCAGCTACTCAGGAGGCTGATGCAGGAGAATTGCTTGAACCCGGGAGGCAGAGGTTTGCAGTGAGCCTAGATCGCACCATTGCACTCCAGCTTGGGTAACAAGAGCGAAACTCCATCTCAAAAAAAAAAAAACAAAACTTCTTAGACAATACAAGCAGTAAGATTGATTTATGTGTATTATGTTGAATTATTTTTATGTGTACAATCTTATGTTGTACTTTATAATAATTTTTATTTGCTCTTCTCTTTAATTCTTTTCCTGCCTTCTCCTAGATTGATCAAATGTTTCTGCTTTTCCTTCACTTCCCCCCTAACTCTTGTTATGAATGTCACAGATTTCCTACTGTGGTTTCACATAAGTCTTTCATTTGTATAACGGCACTTAACAAGCATAAAGCATCAGAAGCTTTTATCATTTTCCTTAATACTGAAAAATCTTAATATGCTTTAACCTCATAACTCCTTTTCTGTGTGTTACATTCAATATTTTAGGTCCTGTTATAATATACCCTATAAATTAGCCATTTATGAAATCAAGGGTTTTTTTATACTCCATTGTTACTGATCAGCATTGCTTCTTGCATTTCATTCTCCCTTAACTGTTCAATTTCCTTCTTCCTAAAATACAGTCTTTTGGGTAGTTCTCTCAGTTAGGGTCTGGTGAATCTGTTAATGTATATACTGTATATAACTGTTTGTATTTCACTGTCACCCTTGATAAGTTAGCTGGGTATCAAATTCTAGCCTGACAGCTATTTTTAAGCATTTTAAAGATACTTCATAGTACTCTGGTTTCCACTCTTGCTGAATGATTTTTATTGTTTGTAAATATTTGTTCCTCTAGTTGCTTTTAAATTTTCTTATGCTTGCTGTCTGAAGTTTCACTATAACATTTCTAAGTGTGAACTATTATTGATCTTTGCTCAAATCCTTTTATTCTTCAGTCTGAGGATTCAGAATCTCAGACTTTCTCTTTGAATATTGCTTCACCCCATGACACCCCCATCATATCTTATCTACTACTGAACTTCTATTTGATATTGAACAAATCTTATTTTGCCTTATATTTTTCTAAACATTTTTTCATATCTTCCATATCTTTATGACTCTTCACTGCATTTGGGAATTTTGCAAACATATGTTCCAGTTAACAATTTGTTTTTTTATGTCTAACCTTCTCTTAGCCCTTCCACTGATTTTTCTTCATTTCAATTATATTCATGTTTGTTAGATATTCAAATACAAATTGACCTTTATATTCGACATTCTTATGGCCTTTATTCCTTTTGTATCTTTTATTATTTTAATATGTTTTTACATAAAATGCCTGCAACCATTTCATCTTTCGGAAGTTGTGTGTCTAATCCTAATGTCTTAAAGTCTGGCCTCTCACTCATAATGACTTGCTTCCTCATAACAAGAAAAGACTTTTTTTTTGAGATGGAGTTTCACTCCTGTTACCCAGGTTGGAGTACAGTGGCACAATCTCGGCTCACCACAACCTCCTGCTTCCTGGGTTCAGGCAATTCTCCTGCCTCAGCCTCCTGAGTAGTTGGAACTACAGGCACACAGCCACCATGCCCAGCTAATTTTTGTATTTTCAGTAGAGATGGGGTTTCACCATGTTGGCCAGGATGGTCTCTATCTCTTGACCTCATGATCCGACCCACCTCGGCCTCCCAAAGTGCTGGGATTACAGGCTTGAGCCACCTCGCCCAGCCAAGAAAGACTTCTAATTCACTGTTCGGAATTACTTCCTTGTCTCCATGAACAACAGGGCTAACTATATGAAACGAAACCATTTTGTAGCCTATTCAGTATTACCTTCTGAACACATTATTTCCTTGTTCAGATTCTTAGGATTAAGTGTCATACAAAATGTTTCACATAAGAAGAACTGGTCTCTTTTTGCACACTGCTGTTTTTAAGCAGAAAGAAATTTTAAAAATAGAAACCTCGGGCCGGCCATGGTGGCTCATGCCTGTGATCCCAGCACTTGAGAGGGCCAAGGCGGGTGGATCACTTGAGGTCAGGAGTTCAAGACCAGTCTGGCCAACATGGTGAAACCGTGTCATTACTAAAAATAAAAAAAATTATCCAGGTGTATTGGCGGGCACCTGTAATCCCAGCTACACAGGAGGCTGAGTCAGGAGAATTGCTTGAACCTGGGAGGTGGAGGTGAAGGTTGCAGTGAGCCAAGATCGTGCCACTGCACTCCAGCCTGGGAAACAGAGCAGACTCCATCTCAAAAAAATATTAATTAAAAATAAATAAATAAATAGAACCTCTCAGGGTACTGCATAAACATTTTGATGGTCATGATATATTCAATATAATTTGATTTGTGATGACTCTAAATGTCAATATAAAGATCACTTGCTATCTTTTGTATTCATAAGTAAAAGGGTTTTAGGGCCACAGTGAAGTTAACTCTTAGGGGGTCAAGACATTTATAAAAGTTTGATGGGCTGGGCGCGGTGGCTCATGCCTGTAATCCTAGCACTTTGGGAGGCTGAGGCGGTGGATCACGAGGTCAAGAGATCGAGACCATCCTGGTCAACAAGATGAAACCCCGTCTCTACTAAAAATACAAAAAATTAGCTGGGCATGGTGGCGCGTGCCTGTAATCCCAGCTACTCAGGAGGCTGAGGACAGGAGAATTGCCTGAACCCAGGAGGCGAGGTTGCGGTGAGCCGGGATCGCAGCCATTGCACTCCAGCCTGGGTAACAAGAGCGAAACTCCGTCTCAAATAAAAAAAAAAGTTTGATGAAGCAACTTCAACCACCACATGATGAATCGCAATTTCTAGATCCAAATGAGGAATCCCTGCCTAATAATAAGAAAACAGAGACCAAATTATCTGTAAAGAATCAGAAATGCTTTCAGGTAAAGTTATTGGAATTAAGTGATTGTGCTGAACTGAAGCAAATTAAGAAAATTATAGAACCAGATGCAAAAACCACAGGTGGCTTACCACTCATTCCTAGTCAACTCTACATCAATAACTGTTCCTGGACGTGGATTTTCAAAACGGCTTCCACATTTAAGAAAAAATCTAGTGTTTATTCGTTTCTTCACCACAATGAAAGCTAGAGCAAAACTTTAAACAATTAGGGTAAGTGTCAATGTTTACTCAGTCTTATCACAGAAGCATAAGCGTATTAAAATATCTATTTTACATTTAGGACCCATTAAGAAGAATGGACAGCAACCCTCCTTACACCCTGATTTTACTGTCTAAGCTCCATGTGCCCGATTAAAGCAGTAAATGAGGAGGTATTTATTCCATAGCCACCCACATCCCAGGGGAAGGGTCCCTTCCTCCCAAATTGAGAACCATTCTTAACATTGCTGCTGGGCAGCGGGCCCTCATAAAACAGGAGTTTTACAAAAGTGGAATTCTGTAGGTTTACTAAGTCTTAGGGCTGGAGATCCCCTTCAGCTGACGACACAGGATAAAATAAGGATAAGAGCCTACTACTGGCAGACTACATTCATGGATTTCTTCTTTTTTTGAGACACAGCCTCACTCTGTCCCCCAGGCTGGAGTATAGTGATACAATCTCAGTTCACTGCAACCTCCGTCTCCTGGGTTCAAGTGATTCTCATGGCTCAGCTTCCCAAGTAGCTGTAATTACAGACACAAGCCACCACACACAGCTAATTTTTGTATTTTTATTAGTACAGATGGGTTTTGCTGTTGGCCAGGCTGGTCTCAAACTCCTGACCTCAAGTGATCCGCCCACCTCGGCCTCCCAAAGTGTTGGGATGACAGGTATGAGCCACTGTGCCCAGCAATTCATGGATTTCTATGGCGATCTGAAGATAGCAAGCCCTCCCACAGCAAGACTTGAAAGAAAATGAAAAGAAAAAGATTCACTGGGGCTTTGCAGTGGAAGCAGCCTGCTACTGCCAGGATCCAATTCTGCTTTGCATTCTGACTTGGGTGTAAAATGCAAAAATCAAAGCAGAAGGGTCTTTTTTCCCTCCCCACCCATCCACAGAAGCCACTATTTATATCAAGCACCTACCCTCATCACATATTGTATCAGTGTTTTCCCCAAAAAACATCTGGTTTCAAAGACTGAAATGTAGGGCTAAAATCCACACCGTACAGTTTTTTTTGGGACATGGTCTCACTGTGTCACCCAGCTTAGAGTGCAGGGCTCCTAGGCTCAAGTGACCTGCCCACCTCAGCTTTCTGAGTAGCTAGGACTGCAGACACACACCACCATGCTTGGCTAATTTTGCTTTTTGAGACAGTCTTGCTCTGGTCGCCAGGCTGGAGTGCAGTGGCGTGATCTCGGTTCACTGCAATCTCCGCCTTCTGGGTTCAAGCAATTCTCCTGCCTCAGCCTCCTGAGCAGCTGGGACTACAGGTGCGCACCACCACACCCAGCTAATTTTTGTATTTAGTAGAGATGGGGTTTCACCATGTTGGCTAGGATGGTCTCGATCTCTTGACCTTGTGATCCAACCGCCTTGGCCTCCCAAAGTGTTGGGATTACAGGCATGAGCCACCACGCCCAGCCTTCTTTTTGTTTTTTTTGTAGAGATAGGGTCTCACTATGTTGCCCAAGCTGGTCTTGAACTCCTGGGCTCAAGTGATCTGCCCACCTTGACCCCCAGAGTGCTGGGGGTGTGAGTCACTACACATTACAATTAATACAACCTACTTGTTAGGAGAGATGGGTTTTAAGTAGGTTGACATCTGTTTTGCTTCCTGGTCAAGCAATGCTTGAAGCTGACCATCTCCCACTCCATCTCGATACACAATAATAGAACGTGGCATTGATGATTCGTTTTCACACCAGACATCCAGGGCAGCTGAGAGGGAAATCACAAACTTGTTTAAATAAACCGTAACTCAAAACAAACTAGCCTTTGCTGCTTTTGACAGATTCTAGGTCCATCTTTCAACACTGCAGCTTTCAGGGCATACTACTTAAGTCCTATCTATTCCAGGGTTCCTCAGCAACAGCGCTATGGAAGTTTTGATCCAGAGAATGATTTGTGGTGGAGGCGGGGTTCAACCCAGGCATGGGAGGATGTTTAGCAGCATCTTTGTCCTCTACCCACTAGACTAAATGCCGGTAGCACCTCCACCCCAGCTGCGATACCAAAAATGAAAGGTTCAGTCATTACCAAGTGTCCTCTGGAGGCGACAGATCATTGGGGGAGAGCTACAAGACACTGACCTTTCAAGCAGGTGTGCAGCTCATTCACAAGCTCTTCTCCTGTGGCCTGGATGACACACTGAGAGTACCACCTGGTCACAGAAAAAAAATAAACCACCAGTTTGGAAAACAAGATTCTTAAAGTCTCATTTTGAGTCTGCATTAATCCATGAGCCAAAAAATATATATATTACTATCTGTAGTTGGAGACATTTAGCATCAATTCCTATTTCCACAGAGATAATAAATATTGGTCTCTTTTGATGCCGTAGGCATTTCAGGAAATTGAGTACATATAGTGAAACAGAATGGAAGCATTTATTCACATTACTACAAATTAATCACACCTTATTGTACAAGACAACTAGTTTCGCCTACGAGGGGAATGCAATGAAATGAAAGTCCTGTGCTCCCCATGGTTCCTGCTTCGGGATCAATGCCCTGAACAGCGGCTCGTACGTGTTCCTCGTCACTGAGGAACGGGTTTGCCTTGGAATGGTGGTGGCTGTTGCGACAACTTCAACATACCCAGTAAAATTGTATGTTGCCTCAGGTTTCTATCCCGTTACTGCAGAGTAATCCCATCTGACCACCTGACATATTGTGATGGATTTGTCTGTCTTCTCACTAGGATTTAATCCACAGGGTATGGCCAGGCACCTTAGCTCCACTTGTTCACTGCCACAGTGTCAGCATCTGAACATGGTGACCACTCAGAGTCTGTTAACAGCTCCAGTGATGATCTGGCTTGTAATGATGGTCTCTGCTTTCTTTCTTGAGACAGAGTTTAGCTCGTGTTACCCAGGCTGGAGTGCAATGGCGCGATCCCGGCTCACCGCAACCTCCGCCTCCTGGGTTCAGGGGTCTCTGCTTTCTTGAGTTTGGAGTAAACAACTGTAATATTTACTTAGCTATTTGTGTTTCTCTCTGTTCAAGGTATCGGCTATTTTCATAATTGTTTGGAAGTTTTTCCTCTCCTCGATTGGAAAGATTATATTTTACACTATTAAAATAAGTTTATTACTTGAAAAAAGCATCTAACTCAAAGTATAATTTTTCCCTATGATTGCAACATTATTTTCAAACAAAAAGTCGAGCAAAAACAGTGTTATCACAGTGAAACAGCGTATGACTGGGAAAAAGTCATCATCTACAGAAATAAATTTGGTCTTAAAGAGATTTCTGAATTGTACCCAGGGGCCACAATCATTATTAAACACAGAGGTGATTTACAATGGTCACACATCGAGTAACGTGCAAAGGACTGCAAACTTATTTCAAGGTGCAGTGTGGTTTCTACTGAGAACAGAAAATAGAGGGGCCCTGGGAGCAAAGGAGAGCACAGGATTTAGACACGCATCTCCTTTCGCGAGTACATCATGTGCAAGTATATGAAGACGAGATTCTGTACTTACAGATCTCTGGCCACTAATTATGTTTCAGTGTCTCTTTACCCATGCACATCTGAAATATTTCACTATGTGTTAATGATCTCCATTAAAGACATTTACCCATCAGAGCGATGGTAGGCAGAATTCTACCTGTTCTAATCCCTGGAGCCTGTGATTATAGCAGGATCCCACCCCTGTGATTATGTTATATGCTATACGGCTCAGTTGGCTTCATGATGACAGTTTTCCAAATGGGTCATTTGTAATCACATGAGCTCCTCTAAAAGCAGGAATGTTTTTTCTGGCTGATGGCAGAAGTCAGTTTCAAAACAGAGTAAGGGCTCAATGTGCCCTGGCTGGCTGGAAGATGGAGAAGGGTTTGCTATGGAGAGAAGCCAGGACTGGCCTGCAGCTGAAAGCCGATGACAACAAAACAGGGACCTCTGTCATCCAACCGCAAAGAAACGGATTCAGCCACAACGACATGAGCTTGGAAGAGGAGGGCTGCCAAGCCTCCAGATGATAATGTGGATTGGCTGACACCTTAATTTATGCCTTGTAAGGTCCTGATAGTTATACACTACCAGATGTCTGATCAGAAGAACTGTGCAGAGATGGGCGTTGTCAGAAACTGCCACATTTGTGGTATGTGAGGCAGCAATAGAAAATAACGTGGAGCCAGCCAACCAGGCAAAACTTTCTGGGAACGTAACTTTGCCAGAAAAATCCGGAGAACACGTGACTAATAACTCATCTGTCAAACTCCCAACCTCTTAACAAATAGTAATTAGGCTCGTCTCTTCTGCTTGGTCCACAGGACAGCTACCAACCAAACAACGTCTGCCAGAGCTTGCTTACTTGGTTAACTCGGCATTCGTACTTGCCACAAATCCCGCTATGGATTTATGTCGATTAACAATATCGTGGAAACAATCGATGCCAATGAACATTGTTCTTTGTACCTTGAGTTAGAATGTGAGCAAAATTTCAGCGTTAACAATTAAGAGAGAATCTCACGTTTTATCAGCTCTAAGTTAAACAGAGTCAATGAAATACAACATAACGTTGTCTCCACCTTCCAGAGGGCTCCTCCCATCTTGCAATTCATCTGCTGGGCAATCTTGGTGATGATAGTCTTTGCCTGGACCTTCTCAATGGTCTTTTTCACTGCACATTGGCTTGGAAACGGGAATGTGGTACACAGGTATTTTTTTATGTGGTCATATCTGTATTTGTCATTCATCGGGCAGGATACAAATCACCTTGAAAACCAGCACACATGATATTTCTTAAGATACAGCAGTGATACAGGAAAGAAAAACCATCTGGAGCAAGCAACTTAGGTGGAAGACGGACAAGCTAGAGTCAATTTATTAGGAAAATATTTGAGTCCAAGAGGGTGAAGTGTCTAGAGCCATGTTATTAATTATAACAGTTATATCAATTTATAATATATTTATATTAGAAAATTATAATTAGTTATAATTATTAGTTACATTAAACAATAAGAAGGGCGAATGTGTGGAAGAAACATAAAATAACATTATAAACTATAATTAACATCAATTTGCTCTAAGTGTTTAAATCATAGTGTTATAAATTTGCTTAATGTTATAAATTATCATTATAAATGACAGCAATTGCTGCAAGAGGCGATTTGGCAATATACATCAACTGCTTAAGCCTGCCATATCACTGCCATCCAACTGTTCAGTTTCCAGGAACTTATCACCATGTTGACAAGGATGGATTAAAATCAGGCTGAAGGATACAATGGTCAGGACAGTCACTATTTATGAAACTATCACAAAGAGGAGAAACGGGGGAAAAAACCACTTAAGGCAGGGCCTTGGTAAAATTCTTTTAAACAACCTGAAAAATCAAGCTGCAGCTGCACAGATAAGGGAGCAAGGCCCAGCACAGAAATGCCTTTGTTCTCTGTGCAATCTGCAGGCTCCAGGAAAAGTTTCCTCCCCTTCTATGGACAGGTACACACTGTGGGCTCCATGGGCACTTGCAAAAGGGGGAGGCTTGGCTGAGACATGCCTGCAGCTGCACAGATGAGGACAGTTGCACAGACAGCAATACAGGGAAATTTCTTATAAAAGCTTTTGTGTTCAATGGTAAAGTGGCAGCCCTCTCAGGCCCCCTCTCTGCTGCAGAGAGCTTTCCTCTTTTGCTCCAACCTTACCCTTGGTGTCCACACTACTAAATTTTCTTGGCCATGAAACAAAGAGCTCAGATAACACCTCACACGATGAGACAGCTTCATCAGGATGTGTAAGGCACTCGCTGAGCGGTTTCCTTGGCAAAGTGAATACTTTCAGCAACCCACTCAGATGAGTAGTAGTGTTCCCATTTTACTGCTGAGTAAGCAAACTCAGGAGTTACGGAAATCGCCTGAGTTCCACGGTTTCAAATACTGGGTTGGATCTCCAGTAGGAAAGAAAGCAGTTAGGAAGACCGGCTACTAATGGGGCTATTCCTGACTTTCTTGGGAAAATAATGATTAAGCATCATCATGTTAGAAATAATTTAAGTACATTTTTGGCAGACATCTTTTATCAGATTAAGGACATTCTTTTCTTATTCTAGACTGTTTTTCTTCCTTTCACATGAAAGGATGCAGATTTTCAAATGCATTGTCTATATTGAGAAGTATTTGTCCCATAGTTCAGACTAAATCATTTGCATTTTTTCTAAAGGTGACCTATTTCAAATTTTCAAATGACTGCCACATAGCTTTTGGTGGTTTAGTATTTCATTAATCGCTAGTGAATCTATGCTAATGAATTATACTTGTTTCTATTTCTTTAGCCTTAGTCATTTTCAGTCTGACAATATCAAATTTTCATATTTTCAAAGGACCGGCTTTTAATGTTTTGGTTTACAGATGAGTGGTGAGATTAGAATTATTCATACAGATTAGAAAACAGCGTTATCCCTCAATATTAATTTTCTTAACTGGGTAACATGTTAAGAGTATGTCTCTGTTTTTAAAATACGCATTGACATATTTAGAGATTAATGGAGCAGCATATCACACATACATATGCATATATAGTAACTACATGAATTACAATCATATGCATATGGTAGAGAAAAACTGCGATTATACAAATGTGGTAAAAAAGGGTATTTGTATTATTTTTCTAATTCTTCCTATAAGTCTGAAATTACACTAAAATATAATATTAAAGGGAATAAAAGTTTCTAAATATCTAGAAAAAAAATAAATGGAAGGTTCAGATTGGATTCATGCATAATTTTTTGAGATGGAGTCTTGCTCTGTAGCCCAAGCTGGAGTGCAGTGGCACGATCTTGGCTCACTGCAACCTCCACCTCCCGGACTCAAGGGATTCTCCTGCCTCAGCCTCCTGAGCAGTTGTGAGTATAGGTGTGTGCCATCACATCTGGCTAATTTTCTGTATTTTTAGTAAAGACGGGTTTTTACCATTTAATCGAGATGGTCTCGATCTCCTGACCTCATGATCCACCCGGCTTGGCCTCCCAAAGTGCTGGGATTACAGGCGTAAACCACCATGCCCGGCCGCATAATAATTTTAAACAGAACATTTGTAAGATTTTCTGTTTAAAATTATGAGGACGGTGTCCCCAACTGGCATTTTTATTGCAAATGTCTGATGTTCAGAAATGAGTGATTAATATTAAATCCAAAGAGACTATTTTTTATTCTTGTAGCCTTAATACTAGATCTGTTTCACTTCCTGTAAAGAAAGCTGTAACCTGAATATACTTTTGTGGCAGGCCAGTTTTCACTAACGCAGGCCTCCATCACAACTCTTCAGTACTGAGTGGTTAAGTTAAATATTAAAAGCTAAAAAAGCCAGTGCCCTTAGACAAAGGCTGGAATGTAGCAAAAGCTCACCATGAGTTTTGCCTAGGCCTTTCCTGGGCCTCAAAGCATGACAAAATAATGAATGAATTCTTAACAGGACCCATTTAGGATTAGACAAGTTTTACTGGGAGTCTGAAAAAACTCCCCAGGTCTCTCCACAAACAGGTTTATTGGAGGTCTGCAGGAACTCCCCAAACCTCCATAATTTATCAGGAGACAAGATAAGGGTAATCACCCCAGCACCTGGGCCCATTTAGATTAAGTACATTTACTAAGACTCCAGAAGAAGGTCTTCAGAACTCAGATCTCAGTTGTAGATGAAAAGTTAATCACTTATGTCTTTAGACAAATGCACACTTAAGCATAGACATGTAGCTTAGAAGGTTTTCTAAGCCCTGAAAAATTTTGTAATTTTGAGTTGGTCTGGGGACAATTTCCAGGCCTCCTCCTTAGAACTAGTTACATAAATAAAAACTCCCTTCCACTCCAGTTCATCTGCATCTCATTATTGTGCAGCAAGAAATAGCAGCCCGACCCTCAGTTTGGTCTGGGAACACTTTCATTTCCTCTATTTCTGCCTTACAGATTCCAACTCACATTTATAGAATTTTAATTCTTTTTTTGTGTGTGTGGGATGGAGCTTTGCTCTTGTCGCCCAGGCTGGAGTTCAGTGGCACAATCTTGGCTCACTGCAACCTCCGCCTCCCAGTTTCAAGCGATTCTCCTGCCTCAGCCTCCCAAATAGCAGGGACTACAGGCATGCGCTACCATACCCAGCTGCTTTTGTGTTTTTGAGTAAAGACAGGGTTTCGCCATGTTGGCCAGGCTTGTTTTGAACTCCTGACCTCAGATGATCTACCTGCTTCACCCTCCCAAAGTGCTGGAATTATACAGGTGTGAGCCACCGCACCTGGCAGGATTTTAATTCTTTATTATTCATATACACGTGTTTCCTCATCTTGACTCATTTAAAATACTGATCTGCAGCTGGGCACAGTGGCTCATGCCTCTAATCCCAGCACTTTGGGAGGCCAAGGCAGGTGGATCACGAGGTCAAGAGATCGAGACCATCCTGGTCAACAAGATGAAACCCCGTCTCTACTAAAAATACAAAAAATTAGCTGGGCATGGTGGCGCATGCCTGTAATCCCAGCTACTCGGGAGGCTGAGGCAGGAGAATTGTCTGAACCCAGGAGGCGGAGGTTGCGGTGAGCCGAGATCGCGCCATTGCTACTCCAGCCTGGGTAACAAGAGCTAAACTCCTCCTCAAAAAAAAAAAAATAATAAATAAAATAAATAAAATACTGATCTGCAAGCCGTCTGTGCCTGCCATAAAGAAAACACATCCCCAAACATCAAGTACTTGTGAATGCCTGGTAGTGTTATTACACCAGTCATATTTGTGAAGGTCACATTTTAAGTACAACGTAAATATGTAGCCTGCTATCTTTTTATTACATCAGCCTACTATATTACACAGCCTTGTTCTGCTCCTGCCTGATGCCAGTCTTTGAAATCCGAGTCACATGAATCTTGATTCCGACTTACATACAGAATCCCATTCTATTGCTGGTCTATGGAGATTTCCATCTGCACTTTTAAAATTTTATAAGTGGTTGTTAGTCCCTATTTCATGGATCATTTCCAACTATTTGGGCCACACAAGATTGTGGCTATGCTTCCCCCATGCCATCTGACATAATGTCTTAAAATATTTAAGGGAATATCTTGAGAAAGAAATTGTTCCAAAAAGCCAATATAGGATGATTAAATGAATAAAAGTGGGACAAGTTCCTCTTCAAGCAGTAAAAGACCTTTGAAGAAAGCCCCACATTGAAAAAGGTAACCTTGAGCTTTTCAGGCAGATGCCAAGCGAGCAAGAAAATTCCTGTTATGAAAATAAGCTGGGGTCGGGCACGGTGGCTCAAGCCTGTAATCCCAGCACTTTGCGAGGCTGAGGCGGGTGGATCACGAGGTCAAGAGATCGAGACCATCCTGGTCAATATGGTGAAACCCGTCTCTACTAAAAATACAAAATATTAGCTGGGCATGGTGGTGCGTGCCTGTAATCCCAGCTACTTGGAAGGCCG